TTGTTCCAGTGTGTTTTTTGTCTGAACAACAAGCTCACTATTGTAGCTGTGTGAAATACACTTCTTTGGATGAGCATTCGCAACCGCCCACAGGCTCTTGATTCATTTAATCACGTGTGCCTTGAAGTGTTTTATTCATTTTCAGTGTCTGCACATATCTGTTTTTGTAAATTGACCCTGTGTCTCCCATTGAAGTATATTCATATCACAAGGACTCCTGCAGGCAAGTTCAGTAGCCTGTACATAAATGCAGGTTTAGACCTTTCCACTCTTCTGCTTCAAATGTCAAATTAATGTGTACCGTTGTTTAATGGAGTTATTTACTCGTATCGGTAAACATGGGTGCTAAAACGATTGGCAGCTTTTGCCAGGTTCCATGTGATCTTGTAAGTGGTGTACAGGAATCACTTGTTGTCTTTGAAAACCAGCTTGTGGATTAGATGAAGCTTTCTGTATTGGAGTAGACAGACCATGCTATGGCAGTTTCTGCAAGGTGGTAAAGGTAAAATTGAAGTAAGTTTGAGATGGTGAAGTTTCTGTGCCTGCAGTCTGAACAGATTCAAAGGTCCAACTTAACATCTTTAGGAGCTCTTTAAAAGGTAAATGCTACTGTGTGAGACGTGGCCAAAGCATAGTTCTCGCTCTTAAGAAGATGAGAACTTAACGCATCTTTCCTAATTTCTTTTCTGTTTGTAATGTGATCCTAGGATGTAAAGTTTCTACGTTGTATACTTATCCAGCATAGTAACTTTGCTTTTGATGGCTATGACTTGAAATTGGCATTATAGTTGCTTTAACATCTAAGCCTCATGTCTGTGCTCAGATGATCTTCAACTGAAGACAAAATTTTTCTTCTAGGTGAGACAGGTCTAGAAATTGTTTAAATTGGAGTTTTGTTCCTGGATGTGCCAAAGAATTTAGCAGAACGCATTTGGTAGGATTTACTTAGCAAAGAGAGACTATCGTTTTGAGAGAGGGGAAGACTGGTCCTTAGATCAGCACGTTCAGTTTATAAAAAAAAAAAAAAAAAAAAAAAAAAATTCGATGAAAATAAAAAAGGGAAAAGCTTGAAAGAAGAAAAAATTGCGATGACATGACAGAGGGAAAAGTCTGAAAGCAGCCATTTCAGATAGGCAGATCTTAATATTTCCTCTAAATGGTGGCAATGCCAAAGCAAATATATACTCTTTGGCAGTAGAACGGTGGAATATCTTTAAGCATCCCAGTTACGTAACGAGACATGGACTTTATCTGCTGGGGTTTCTTTCTTGTGAATCAGGGAGAACCTTTGCGAATACAGAAGCCAGTACTTTTCATACAAAGAGACTATCCCATATGTTTTGAATGCAGTCCTCTGGAAAATACTGTTACTAACTTGTATTTTATAGAAACAAGACTGAGTATGCTGCTTTCTTTGCTTTCTGCCTAACTTGTATTTTATAGAAGCAAGATTGAGTATGCTGCTTTCTTTGCTTTCAGCTGCTGCTTCTTCCATGCGACCAAAGGCAATGAACTTTTGCTGCATTTCAGAATTTTATGCTAATGCTTTACTTCTATCAGCCTTTTTTAAGACAAGTAAATTATCTTAATTGCTGTGAAGTAACTATTCCTCAAAACTGTAATCATTTGCTGACATAACGCTTCATATTTACAAAATATGAAGAATTCAGTATACCTCTTCAGATAGTCTAGCCGTTTTGAGTTACTGTAAACAGTTTTCTGTAACTATTCTTTAATCAAAAAAATTCTATAACATGAATATTCAAGTCTCTTGATTGCAAAAATGAAACATTTTCTTTCATATTTTATTCAGCTCAGTGAAATGTGTTCCATCAGCATATTTTAAATTTCAGTAATAGTTTTAATATAACTTTTTCACATGAAATAGTGCAGATACAAAAGTTTATACAGAAGGCAGTATTTGGTAGTACGTGGAGCAAGTATTATGCTAGTTATTTAGTGTGACCTAACTAGCTTTCTTTAGCTGTAGGGCCTTTAATAAGTAGTAATCTATATTATCTCTTCACCTACTTGCATAGCCTTTATTTTTCAGTAGTTTTTAATAGTTTAGTTTGGTTTTTAGTCTTTCATACTTCAGTTTTCTGTGCATCTTACCTTTTTTTTTAATTATTATTTGGCACTTGAAATCTCCTCACTATTCATGTTGGGTTTCAGACTACCTTTTTCAGTTTCTCAGTGCATTCTCAGTACTGACCTTTGCTACTTGACTTTTTGTTCAGCTTCCACACGGTTTTTATTTCTGGCCTTCTAGAGTCTCAAGAAGGCTCTCAGTTAGCCAGCCTTGTTCTGGCATTCTCATTTGAAGAATGCCATAATTACACAAAACTAAATGAACTACTCTAGAACTTATTAAGCATGACTACAATTTTCCCCTCCCCCTCTTGTCAAATCTTCTGCAAATAAGGCTTTGCACGTCTTGACTTCTAGCATTTTGGTGTACGTGAACATAACCTTTATGTGTACTGCATGGTGAATGTAAGAAAGCTCTCAAACCTAGACTCGACTGAAGCGGAAAGGATACTTTCCTGTACTGTGTTGCATCATCTCCATTTCATTGAATAAAATATGTTATAAGTTGAGCATTCCTGGATGGATAAGGTCATTATAATTTGGCAATGTTCCTCTCTTAAAAGATCATAACTTGTGGCAGTTTTGCTTACCGTGGGAAACTTTCTTGTAGATGGAGGTTGGAATGGCCATATCTATTTGTGAAGGACAGGGAGTGCTTTTGTTACCTCCAAAGACCCATTACAGGATATGATTGCTTGTGGGAGTGTCTGGTTATGATCTGTTAGAAAACATCCTATTAATAAAACAGAGTCTCTTGTAATAGAGCACTACTTAATCTCCTTCCTATGTAGTTATTTATAGGCTGTGACATCTTAACTTGCCTCTCATGTGCATCAACTTCTGTTATTTTAAAAGATCAAGTAGCTTTCACATGCCTCTCAGAATCGCTTCTGGAAGAAAGTGCTTATCTTCTAAGAAACCGTACAAAAAGGCTTCATGTCCTAAGTTTGTTTTTAAAAAAATGATGTTTTTCTAAAGCACAAATATTAATGGAATATCCTATTATATAGACATTTGTTTATTAATCTTGTATTATTATAAGCAGATGTTCTTGAATAATCAGAGGATTTCCAGGTGCTGATGGTACTTATTTTCCCTGAGTGAGTGTGCGTAGACCTACCTGGAGCAATATTAAATGTGTTGTTCTCTTTATTTTTGTGGTTGTTTTCTTTATTAGAGTGGTCCTAGTGCCAGATCTTGTCACAAGATGTGTATTGACATTCAACGAAGGCAGATATATACACTGGGACGCTATCTGGATTCCTCCGTGAGGAACAGTAAATCTCTGAAAAGTGACTTCTATCGCTATGACATTGACACAAACACATGGATGTTGCTAAGCGAAGACACTGCAGCGGATGGAGGGCCAAAGCTGGTGTTTGATCATCAGGTCAGCTACACTGATTACCTTAGTGAAATTTCCTGTCCGTGTACCTTTTCCTCTATGTTTGTGAATCATAATTTCAGTCGCAGCCTGCCAGAACTTAATTGCTACATCGGGTACCATAGCAGCAAAGGGTTTGGTTGCTATTTGCACTGCAGCTCATTTCTAATAGTGTTATCTGGTGCCTAATGCCATTGACTACTGGTATTCTAACAAAATTGAGTCAAAAGGCTCATAAAACCTTTGCAAAGTAATTCATTTTATTAAGGCCCACATTTTATTAAAGCTTAAGGCACAGTTTGTCTGTTCTTAGTCAGTTTTGCTGAGCTGGGTTTGCCGATCTGCCTGCTCAGTGGGCGTTGGGGAACAAGTTGCAAAACTCTGTATACTGCCTTCAGGAGAATACAAGAAGCAAGACTGTGAAATGAGGCCAGCAGGATCTGGATTCTATCAACCTTGGCTATCTTTCAAATGTTGTAGAACATATATGTTTTGTAGGGCGTGAAACACGTTTTAGTAGTGGCTACTTTTAGTAGTTACAGCTATTCATTTACTCAAATTGAAGACTTGTGGGGTTGTGTGTGATTTTTTTTTTTTTTCTTCCCCCCTGAGATGTGTTAAATGGCTTCTATGTACTTGAAAAAGGTATTTTATTCTTAAACAATTTTAAAAAAAGCATGACCAAGAAATAACACAACAATATTTATTTTTGTAAAGCAGCCTAAGAACTATTATTATTGGTGCTGGTTGTCTTTTCTAAGCAGTGCTGTTGCCTGCTAGTATGATACACATTTTTTGCTGAAACTGAAAATTATCAATGTTATCTGTGAAACAAAAGCTAATCAATCTTTCTATTCTATTAATGAAGAATATGAGCCTCCTAGATGTTGGGGAAAAGGCAAAATGAAATGGTCAGCTAGCAAGACTGGTCTTGCTACCTTCTGAAGTTGTTTCCTTTTCCTGTGCTGTCTTTTCTAAAAGAATATCCTTCCTGAATTCTTCCTGAATCAATCTACAGCCCTTTCTCTTCTCTCCCTCTCCCTCTCCTGAAATAGTTGTTTTTGTTTAACCTTCCCAAAAACGTGCTGCATTAAGTGTTTTGTATGGATGTTGCCGAGTAGCATCTCTGTCTTATCATAATCTTGTCTTTTTTTTTTCCCCTCAGTGTTCTGTAACACTCCATGTTGCAATGTGTCGAAAGCATCACCTGGAGTCACTTTTGTTTGATTTGCACTGTGATGCACGTCCTGTTTGCCATAACCTGAATTCAAGCTTTGGGGATAAACTTTTTTTTTCTTTTTTTTTTCCCTTGCAGTATCACCAAAAAATCCTTGGCCAGGTTACGGCCGTATTTGAGGTCAAAGTAATTAGGGTAACATTAAATATATGCTTGGGATGGAATACAGGTAACAAATCACAGGCTGTTTTTGGATCGGTTGGATGGCATTCAGTAAATAAGCAGGGAATATGACTCTTTCCTTTTCACAGCCACTGTCAAGGGCAGCATTCAGTGTACTTTCTGGCAGAATTGGCTACAGATTCTTTTTTCCCCCTAAAACAACTAGAACAAAGCTTTTAGGTGCCAAAGGTCCGTGTAGCCTTTCTGGCTTATTAAATGGACAAGATGAAGTTAGACTCATATTGTAAACTAAGGAACTGTATTTTCTGAGCTTAAAGTACTTGCCAACCGTGAAGACATTTGCGTTCTTTTCCACTCACTGGAGGTTTAGGAGGTGTACAGGGTACTCTCTAGCTTATTAGATATCACTTGCAGGGAAAGGATGTTCAGTCTTAAGTCGTGATGTGCTGACTTAAAACTACTTTCCTTGTTCTTACAGATGTGTATGGATTCTGAAAAACACATGATCTACACGTTTGGAGGTCGAATTCTGACCTGTAACGGCAGTGTTGACGATAGCAGAGCCAGCGAACCGCAGTTTAGTGGATTGTTTGCTTTTGACTGCCAGTGTCAGACATGGAAACTTTTGCGAGAGGATTCCTGTAACGCTGGACCCGAGGACATCCAGTCCCGAATAGGACACTGTATGTTGTTCCATTCTGTAAGTATCCACCCTATACTTTGATTCGTGATGCCTGACCTTAAGGAGAACATCTGGTTTTAATTTTCTTGCAAGCTTGAAGCTTGAAGCTTTTTAATCTTCTGATCAGTGTGTCGTCTCATTTTATGTTCACTGACGTTCTGGTGCTTTTTTGGTAAGTGCAGTTAATATTAATTCAAGTCCTAGCCAGAGCATTCACTAATTTAACTGTGACTATAATTAAAAAAAAAAAAAAAATTAGTTAAATAATGATAAGCAGACTCAGAGACCATTGGTTCAATTTAGACTAAGGAGAATTCTTTTTTTTCCCTAAATTGGTAAAGCATCTTAGAACCTTCTAATTTAGTAAATTCCATGTGTAGTCACTGGTATGGTAAACTTGACCAGTGCGAGGGCTTATTGCGAACGTGTTGAGAAGCGTGGGCCTGATGCTCTTTCCTGTGCTGGGTGCAGGTAACGTTACGAGCATTTCATCTAGAGCCTGATGGAAAGTCAAAGGTGTGGGGTTTGCTTTATTTTATTTTATTTTTTTTAGTGTAGCACTACATTAGCATTGGGTATTTTGAAAAATCTTCCATTGCCTGTCTAATTGGACTAGTTGATCGTATGTATATTTCAGCACAGCATATGGGAATTATAGGGTGGGAAAGGGAGGCTGATTAGTGTCATGTCTGTTCTGCGCTAGCTTTTCATGTGCTTTCAGTAGGGTAACAGTGCAAAGGGGGTTTGTGTCAAGTAGGACTGCTTGCATACGCAGTCGTTGTGCGCTGGTCGTTCCACACTGAATTTCTGTGGGAGCTGCTTAGTGATCGCAAATGGAGTTTGCAGAGTTTTGCTGACGCTGAACCTTGAAATGGAGGGGGTGGGAAGAGAACTGAAATGAATATTAGGGCACTCAACTGTTTTCTAAAGTGGCTGTTTGAAAATTGACCGCAGATTTTCGGACTGAACAGTTTCCTGAGCTTTTTCTTGTTCCCTTCTAAATGAAAAGAGAGATCAACTTTTTATAGGGAGTACTGGGCTTTTGAAGTTTTCAGTTCCATTTTTGTCGTCTTAACGGTTCTCTAAAGTCTGGTGGGGGGCAGAGGGACTACCACAAAAGTTCTGCATAGGTACCAGAGAACATGCGAGGTCTGTGTCTGTGCTGAACGTAAGAGCACAGATTTCTGTAAGCACAGTCCTAGAAGCTTAGATCCTTTGCTATTTTCTCAGTCGTTGGGAAGAAAAATAATCTGCCTCTTATGGACTTTCCACTTGGCAAAACTGAAAGAAGTAATAAACCTGGTATTCTTGGCTTGCCATTTGCCTGTTCTGAATTTAGTAAGTGTGCTGGTATCTAAATGGTTTCTCTTGCAGTTGTTCTTTTGTTCTTGGTTTTTACAGTGAAATTATGATCTTCTGGGTTTCTGACATTGAGACTGTTTGTTCTTTAACATGAAACTTGACAAGTGAATGGCTGCTTCAGTGCTCTGAGCCTTGATGTTACAGCTTGATCAAGTGTGGCTGTAACAGTTAAACATGTGAAATCTGCTCGCTCACTCCTGAGCCGGTACTCTGTGTTGGATCCAAATCTGTGGTCTCATACACAGATCATGAAAGTGAAGTCTGTAAAGGTGCATATGTGGGAGGCTATTAGGGTGGGGAAGCTGTGAGCCTATAAGTATTTAGCTCTCGAAACTGAAAAATCGAAAATTTTGAACTGAAATTCTTTTTCTTTTTTTTTCGTTAACTGAGTTTGAGAATAGTATAAACTGTTTTGTGTAACTGTTCCACTGTGAATCCTTCTGGGGATGGAAGGAAAAAAATATTTACCAAAGTAAGATTAGCGGAACTGGCAGTTAAGGCATGATTTTAAACTTGTAAGAAAAATATTTCTTTCTTACTCTTGTGATTCATTAATATTTTTGTAAATGATCACAGTTAGCCAATATGCTTTCTTGAACTTGATTAGAAAAACCAAAGTGTGTGTGTGTGGTTTGTTTTTTTTGTTTTTTTGTTTTTTCTCCTTTCTAGAAAAATCGCTGCTTATATGTGTTTGGTGGCCAGAGATCAAAGACTTACTTGAATGATTTCTTCAGTTACGATGTAGACAGCGACCATGTGGATATCATATCAGATGGCACTAAGAAAGATTCGGGGATGGGTAAGAGTATAACTATATTAAACTTTGTTCCTCTCAGTACAGATGAAGTAAATATGTTCTTAAGTAGATGAATGTCCAACTTCAGTATCCTGTATGTGAGGTTAGCATCCTTAACTAGCCCTATGTGTCCAAGTGAACTCCAGAATATTTAGGTTATGTTTATGCCTGTTCTGTTGGCCTTCCAGTCATTTCATACACACTGTCTTTAGCACAGGACAAATAATTGATACGTGCGTCCACATGGTCCCTCAGAAGACGACATTTTCAGCAAAATAATAACTAAAAACATCTCTGAAGCTCTTGCCAAAACCAGGAAAGGCTGACCAATAGTTATCCTTAAACCAGGAAGGAAAAACTCAACCTTATTTTATATAGTATCTTCCACTCGGGGAAAATTTTTCAGGAAAAAAAAAAAAAAAAGAGAGAGACATACTCTGCTTGGTTTGAGACACAAACGCCTGTAGGACACTTGGAGAGAGGGAATTGAAGCAGAGGAACAAAGGTGGTTTTGCCTGGCGGAATCTGATGAGGAAGACTAATCTTGTGTCTCTTATTGCCCTGTTAATTCTGTACTAAATTGTGAGAGGGGGAAAAGGTAGTAAAGGGAGTGAGGCTTCAGTCCTATTTAGTTCACACCACTGGAGCTATATACACCAGATACAGTTCTGTGTTCTAAAAACAACCAAAAGGCATTGTAACACAAGCATAAAGAACTGATTTTATAACATTTTCCTTGATTATGACAAAGAATACGTTCTCTTGCTTCTAAAGAGAATTTCTGCACATATGGGAACACCACTTTCCGGCGTTGCAAATACCCCGATATTGAGCCTGCAGCTCAGAGGTTGAAATCTGTGTTGCGCTGTGTATCACAGAAGCTTTGAGTATTTCCCTGATATATATGCTTGATCTTTTTTCTCCTCTTCCATTACCAAAATCCCTGGAAGCCAATTTATCTTAAATTTAGACTGCCCTCTTTATTTTGATTAGGTTTAATTTTTAGCGAGTACTTTAGCTCAGCTTCTCATGTGAATTATTGATGGTTGTGAATTATTGTTTGCTCATTTTGTTTAGTTACGCTGCTGAGGGAGAAGAGTACCCAACCTCTTATTCCCTAGAGTCATTTATTTACTTAAGTGCTTCTAAGAAAGAACCACCTTGCGCTTGTTTAGCCTTATCTGTTAAGGTGCCCGCATGTTGCTTGATGCCGATCTACGTGCATCCGTGCACTGTGTCTGACTTTAGAGCTTTTAAAAATCTGACTCTCTTCTTCCGAAACTGCTAGCGTTCTGCCGTTTTACTTTTTATAAGTGCATTTCTTGGTAGCCAGAAGCTTTACGCCCTGTGACTTCAAGCTGACACCTGTGATGACCTGTGTGACTAGCGAAGACACCGAGCTCTGCTTCTCAGCAGAGTACGTTAACTGCGAGGTTCAGTTAAGCAAACGCAAATATCCTAATTAACCCTCCTCCCCTTTCTCACAGACTCCAAAATGGTGAATAGTAGGCTTTGTAAGAAAATGACTCATTGGAAATAATTCATGAGTATGTTTCCAGTGTACTGTTCTCCTGTGCATAGAAAGTAAACAGATTTTAACATTTCCCTTATGGAAGAAAATGTTAGGCTTATTCGCGTTTTAACAAGAAGAGAACAAAATGCCTGTTGGATTTGAGCAGCAAATGCTGACAACGTTACTTTCACCAAAAAAAGCATGTCTTTATTGTGCTCTTGTTAAGCGATGATACACTGTTTTGATCTGTCCGTACAAAATGGTTCTCTGGTCGCTGTGAAGTTTATGGTGTTCAGCGTAATGAATCAAGCTGAGGAAGCCTGACCTAAATGTTCCTATAAAGTCCCATAATTACATTTTGTTCCTGGTTCACGTGTGGCATTCAGTTCTATTCTTAGTTGAGCGATTTTGATTTTTACCCTAAGAGAGGTTAATTGTGCATTTGTTTAAGATTTCTGTTGGAGTAGTTGGAAGATTTAAAAAAAAAAAAAAAAAAAGTGAAACTGTTAAGCAGGGTATATCAATATATGGACTTGTTACAGGATTAGAAAACTGTGGTGATGATACCTTGCCTTTGCTGCTGTCTGTTCTTCTGGATGAGCTATTTATGCTGTTTAGTGAGTCTTGTTGTCCTTCAGTTGTTCTTTTGGTGTTGATCCCAGAAACAGTTTCCTGTACTGATGATCTGTTTAAGAGTAGTGGGTGACAGATCTGACTTAGTTTCGTACTTTGGAGTAAATCACATAATTGGTAGCAAGCTTAGGCGTACTTTTTTCATTCCTGGGAAAATGGTTCTAATGTGACCAAGGTACAATGTCTGAAACGTGGGTTTTGTACATGACGAATAGAGGTGTTAAGGTTTTACCTGCTAACAGTCTCTCAAGTCTCCATCTGCTTTGGGCATGGGTGTGCCCTGCAGCTCCTTTTGTCTGCCAGCTGCACTAGCCATCTCCGCAGAGTGAACATTGGTGCTTTTTCCAGCTCACTGCATCAAAAATAAACTCATGCTTCCTCTCCCCTGTCAGAGGAGAGCACCGAAATGAAATTAGGCCGTTAGTGCTTGTTGTCTTTCTCCTACCGGATAGGTGTTAGGAGCAAGGAATTTGTCAGATCAGCTAGAGAATGGGCAAAGTTGCGACTAAGGGAAAAAAAAAGAATGCAGCTGGCGTGATGAGTCAGCTACGAGGAGAGGCAGCAGTGATATGGACTGAAGGGTGTGAAGTACAACTGAAGAGCAGAACTTGTCTTTGGAAGACAGTCAGTAATGCGAGTGCTAAGCAGGCATCCCTTTCACAGCAGTGGGTATACTTCTGAGAGATAGTATTTAAAATAAAAAAAAAAAACCCCACACAGCTTACATATGCCAGAGCATGTTTCTAAAGCGTATGCATGGCTTAGAGATGCTGCTGATATCGGACAACTTCAAAAGGCCATATTGACCGCTTGCCTGACTCGCTGAGCAAACAACTAATCACAGGCCGTGACTTCAGCTCTAGCAGAAATAGTAGAAACACAGAGTTGTGGTCAGGGTTCCCATGATAATCCTGTTTGGCCCTGACTGGGGGGTGCGTCCGAATTCTTGGGCAGGGGGAGAATTTCCTTCTGCAGGAGAACCAAGACCTTCTCGTTTCCCTTAGCGTCAGGTAACTTCCAGAGTCAAAAGAGAACAAGCCCTGAATGTTCCTGTGGCTCCTTTTAACGGCAGAAGTAGTTCTCATGGGCAAACAAATGGCAGATATTTTTTTTTCAGCTACCTGCGAGGTTCCTGGGTACTTTGCAGATGATTGCATGGTGTTGCAGATGCTCCATCCAGATAGACTAGAGATTTCATGAATAAGTACCACGGACAGGGACAGTACAGCAAGTCCAGGAAATCCTGATTTAAAGCAAGATGATGTCAGAAAGACACTGATCAAAATAGAAAGCACAGCTAGCCCGACCTGGCCAGGAGCCAACCCAGGCAAGCAGTCGGAAGACATCAAGATCCCTTTTTGACTGTTTATAACACCTGGCATGCTTTACCCTTGCTCAGTTTAAGGTCTAACTTGCAAGTGGCCAGTGTGCCTCTTGCCATGGCGACGCTTTTTTGCGAGTGATTTTGCACCTTGCAAGATCAAGAGAATGTTTCTCTGAA